ACTGACTTTATTGGATTGATTGTGTGGGATGTTCTTCCTGCACATTTTTTGCATGGGTCCATATGCCAAAAAGGGGGAGAATGTGAATACCCTTTTTATTTTTGGCGATGGACAAAGTTGTTTTCCATTTCCCTGCAACAACCTTTCCTTTTTTAGTTTTCGTAGGTTGCAGGAAGGTTGTCACAACAACCGTGCTGCAGACTGAAATTGTGGGCTTGGCTTTATCTTTTTGTCAAATCCATTAAATGCCCACAAGAAACAAACTTGATATTTGAAGTATGGTCAAACTCGTGCAGGAACATTGGAGCACTCCATCCATTTCTATGCTAAGGGAAATTAATGAGAAGGGTGTTCTTACCAAGAAAGCATTGCTTATAAAATCAAAAAAGACATACTTTGTGTAGTGTGAGTTGGTGTGAAATTCTTAGAGAGAAGATTATTGTGAGAAGCTCTCACCACTCATCCAGTTCAGCTCTTCAACATTCTGAATGTGTGTTCTACACTGATATCAACTGGAGAGGTCGAAGGTGTTCGGAATTAATGGAGTTCCAACCGGAGGGAATGATCAAGCTTTGGACTTCTTTGTTGTGTGGTCGTTGTTAGTACGAGGTTGTAGCAACGAGAACCTTAGGAGGTATTTTCCTGGGTTATCCATGACTAGCATTAGAGTTAAATGAGTTGTGGTTGTTTGTGTCCTTAATCAGCACTGGTTAGTGGAATTCCTCCTGGATTGGTATTCCCCAGATGTAGATTTGTTGATAATCGAACCGGGTTAACAAACACCTTGTTTCATTGTTGTTTTATGTTATACGTTGTTTTTCGTTGTTAAAACGTTGTTATAACTGTGAACCGTCCGCGCTTAGGGAGTTGGCCCTTTAAAGTGTTCGAATATATTTTGTTCGATAAATCACTTTCCCAACAAGCCCCCTTGGCCATTCCGGATAAGAACTCTCTAACAGGATTGGAGCTCTGTGAAGGCAGGAAGATAGCTAGAACGCGTGTACATAAGTGTTTGTATACTCCTTATCGAAGTATGTCTACAATTGGATATCTGGCCCTATTTATAGCTAACGGGAGTAGCGATTGCGAGCAGTTGAGAAGTGGTTCCAACCACTGGGCAGTTAGGCAGTTGTTGGCAGTTATACCGTTGGGGCGGTTGCTGGCCGTAACTCACAGGGTGCTCGCTTCGCTTACTTCGACTTGTAAGGGCGCAGATCTTCCTCGATCACCCAGAAGGTTGGAGGGCATCAGCGTAGCTGAGCGGAGGTGTCAATGTTGGTTGGTAATGGAATGGTTTTACCGCTACATATTGAACACTTAGATATTATTTACAGCCAATTGTCGTCACTCCGCTACAGTGGGTGTCTGGGTCGCTGGCCTGAGCGATGGAGTCATCGCTTGTGAGCGGAAATGACTATCGCTTGTCTCATCTGCCTTAACTTTTCTGGACCCGTATCACCGCTTAAAATGACAAAAATTGTTAATAATCTCAACAAACCAATTCTGGATTATGCCAAGCGAGATAGATTAACAAAGTATGCCATAAATCAGATATTGTGATAGTTTTTATACAGAAATTCAAGTAATACATAATTTTGTCAAGCGGAGAATATGCTCATATTTGGAACCATCACCCTGCAGTTGATCTATTATAGTGTTTGACATTTTCGAAACTATACATATATAGAGCACAAACTAACACATGTTGGATACTGAAATTTGTAAAATTCCATATTTTTTTGGTCTCCTCTTCAGAAATGCATCATCTACAACAATATTAATTAAAATATCTTACAACTTGCAGTTTGAAGGTTCGGCAACAATGGTATGTTTGTCTCCTATTTTACCATAATCAAGCTGAAGTTTTATAAACTATTAATCGAAATACACATTTTATACCCAATTATATAATACTTCATCCGTCCACCTCTAAGGGTCACATTTACTTTTTACGTCATTGTACTTAACATTAAAAATATCTTTATATTTGTATAATTTTTTGTACAAATATCATTCTATTAGTATTATAACACACTAATGGAAGTACTTTTGCAATTTTTTTTAACTTGTACTACATTTAATTATAATAATTAATATTCAAAGATCAACATACAAAAAGTAAATGTGACCTTTAGAGCCGGACGGAGTTAGTATAATTTATAGAATATTTTCAGCTAGAATGAGGTATATGCATAAAAGAGAGTCGTATTTCAGTGAGCAAAAATAATGAATTCTATAGAATAACGAATGTACATATACAAAGAAGAATAAAGTTACATACAAAAATATTTCACTATCCTGATTGTTTGTTTATTTTTTCTTACTTTTCTATTCCCCTACCTTTCTGCTCTCTCTCACATCTCAATTATTTTACTACAAATATAAATCTACAAAAATACAAATGAAGACACTTCTATAGACAACAAAATCATTTACATATTCAAACACATCAAAATAATTCATATTCGACCTGATGATACGATACATTACAAAGTAAAATGACACAGCACTGAGACTTGTACAAACCCAACCGAGGTACAAATGAAATAGATTTGAGCACACCACAAACTCAAAAAATTGATTTTACAAAGAATATAAACTGTATCATACTTTTTCGAACTCCGCTTTTAGGGGGAGGTCTTTTTTGATATCTCGAGCAGGATCGAAGCTCTCAGCAATGAGGGAAGACTTCCGGCAGCGGTGAAGCTTTCTCCGGAGAGACTCGACGACGATTATTTCAACGGGGTGCTTGGGCAGTGATGGGCGGAGTGGGAGGGGAAGTATTTGGAAGAAATAAACCTATCAACAACATATGATAGTGAGTTTTATTAGAATTTTATTTTGTTTTTTATTTAAATTTCTCAATATATAAATAAAAATTCTAGACGCATTACTCTGAAATTTTCTTTGTACAACAGGATAATTTTAAAGTATGTAATTGGATAACGTAAGTTTATATAAAAATAACGGGGTACACAAAATATTTGTTACGTTATATTACAATTTCAAATGTAACATTGATACTAAAGAGTTAAAATATAAATTAAAACAAAAAATAAAAATCGCAGTGCTTTATCAAAATTAAAAAAGTTAAAATTTATTTTATCTCAAATGTATTTAAATACAAGTACTCCTAAAAAAATCATATCTATATTAAATTTGTTGACCAAACAAATATCTACTTATAAAAACCTTTCATCCCATAAATCTATAGCATGGAGTTACCGCGCCGGGCCGGGCCGGCAGGGATACCAAAGCACGTGAAACAGCTGATAGCCAAATATTAATTTTTAAAATTTATTTAATAGGGATTAAATTGTAATTCGACCGATAGTATATAATTATTTTTATATGAAGGGCATTTTTAATTATATACTACTGCACTGGTAGACTTACCCGGACATTTTAAATTATATAATATCTCCAGTAAGTAGGTTTCAGGAGTTTTATAGGAAATTAAAAATTAATAATATTTTATTAATTAATAAAAAGTATATAAGAAATTTTGATAGTTTTATTTTTATTTTATGTAAAAAATAATTATATATGTAATAATATATTTATAATTTAGGTAAAAATTAAAAATATTTTGGTATTGATATATGGTTATTTTTATTAAAATAAAAAATAAATACACGAACAAAAATAGTAAAAAAAGTACTTTGAGTTGGAAACAGAGAGACTATAATAATTCAGTCGATTTGTCCATTTCAATTTGTCAAAAGATAAAATAATTTTTCGAATTATGATTTCAATTTGACAGCTTTTATTGCAGTTTCAAAATCAATACTTCCAGTTTAAAAATCCAATTTAAAAGTCGTCGATTTCAATTTGAATCGTTAATTTATATTTATTTATTTTTAATAATTTTGTTTTATATTTTTAAATTTTTAAATTTTAGTTTTATTCAAAAACAATTAATTTAATTTTAATTTTATTTATTTATTTATTATATAAAAATTACATAAATAATAATAATTGATTGGATTGTTGCGGGATAAAAAATAATTAAAATAGTAATGAATTTAATAAATAGTTAAATTAAAAATTAATTATAAAAAATATTAATATAATTCCTCAGTTCCATGACAGATCTTTCTTATTTTTTATAACAATTGATTCATTTTTATTTTAGGTAAAACTTATTAAATTAAAATATATTTAACAAATATAAATCAATTTAATTAATTATATAACATAAAATATCATAAATAAGGTATAACCCATTTTAAGTTTTTTATTTCTATCTCTCTTAAAAAAATAATATTTTTATATTACATTTAAATATTCACTTTTTTTTTATTAAATTAGTTCATGTTAATATAAATAAATAAAAATATTTTTTATTTTCCTGATTTATAAAAAAAGATTATTCTCTATTCATATTGTATATATTTTTTATGGCGATATAATTTTAAAATATTTAAATATATATTTTTAATTTTTTTTAGTATATATATTAAATTATTGTAAAATTATTAATATTATTAATTAAATAAAAATAATAAAATAATATTATATTTTATTAATATTAATTAATTAAACATTATGAACGAAGAGGATATTAGATAATAATAGTATAATATAAATTAAATATAATTATATAATAAAAATTTATAAAAAATTGAAAATACTATAAATTATTAAAAAATATTTATTATATTAATATTAATATTATTTTAATTTTGTTAAAAATAATAATAAAATGTTTTAGCTTTTTGCACTAATCAATTATTAATACATTACACATTCACACACGCCACCGTAGCCAACTGCCCAACTCCCACCAGGTTAATATATTTTTTTATTTTAAAAAAAATAAAAATAAAAGAATACAAAACCGCCGGTTCGAACAAAGAAAAGAGAAACCGATGCTGAGCCGTAGAAAAACCAGTTTCGGTTCGACGACGGTTTCGGTTTGACTTGAACCGCCGGTTCGAAAGTGAATAGTGATTGGGTTCTATAAATGCTTTGAATTCTTCAACTGGATATTTGCAACTGGTGGCATTTTCGGCCATACTTTGTGCAAAATTTCTCCTCATTTTTGTCGTTTCCCTCAGCAGATCTCTATGAAGTGATTGAGTGCTGTAAGTTAATCTTCGCTCAAATTTAATTTCAATCTATGAACGGCGGTGCGATGGCGAGCTGGAAGATTATGGCGTCGCCGTCGGTGGCGCCGCTGTCGCCGTCTCCGACGCCGCAGCGGATGTCGATTCCTGGTAGCTATGGGTTTCCGGTGATCGGTCCGTTGGTGGATCGATTAAACTATTTCTGGTTCCAAGGGCCGAGCGATTTCTTCAAAAATCGAATCGACAAGTACAAGAGCACGGTGTTCCGCACGAACGTACCGCCGGCGTTTCCGTTCTTCCTGGGCGTGAATCCCAACGTGGTGGCGGTGCTGGACGTGAAATCGTTCGCGCATCTCTTTGATTTGGATCTCGTCGAAAAAAATGTGCTGGTCGGCGATTTCAAGCCTAGCCTTAGCTTCACCGGCGGAATGGAAGTCTGCGCCTATCTCGACACGGCGGACCCCAAACATTCGCAGGTATGTTTCCTTCCATTTACACCTTTACATTACATTACATTGCTTTGTATAACAGCCTGTTCATTTATATCTATATAATTAAATATTAAATAGAGATATATATATACTTTTTTTATTTTAATATATTTTTAGAGGGTTTAAATATATTTTGAGAGTGTATTTTTGAGTTTTTCAGCATTTAAAAATAACAAAAATCTAATATATATTTAATATGATGTGAAAATATGTAGGATGCATCTTTCTAAAATATACATATATATAATATTTTAAATAAAAATAAATATTTATTGATATATTCTTTTTATAAATACATTTGATTTGTTTTATTATAATATAAAATTAAGTTAAAATGAAATCTCAAATTTCATTTTTTTTTTATAAATAGTAGTATCTTAAATTTTTAATATAATATTGAATTTTGGCTTAGCTTTTATTTATAGGTTTACTTCTGTATTTATGTGCCCATAAATATGTCAATAAATTCACATCATTAAATGATTATTTTTATCTGAGGTTTTATTTAATAAGAATAAATATTTATTGTCCTGTAGCGTCAGACGAATAACTTGATGGTGTGAGGATGAATTTGTAATCGCGAAGTTATTAGTTCAAATTCCGACGTTTTCGAGTCTTATTTTACCTTGTCGAACTTAATTTTCATCAAATATAAAATTTGCCCATAATTTCCATGTAAACAAAAAAAAAATAATAATAATACCATAATTATAATAAAATCTTTATATAATATATTGGGGTGTTCACTTTGTAATTTTTTTTTTTATGAATTTATTTTTATTTTTGATAAATTTAACAATGTTAAATATATTTAATAAATTTAATTCAATTTAATTAAATTTCAAGCATCTTACATATGAAAGTCGTTCAAAATCTGTTTATTTATTTTCTCTTTACAATAAACACAAATATATTTATTTATATAACCTTTTATAATTTATAAAATTAATTTATGTTAATTATAGATAAATTAATGTATTATTGTATTTATTTGTATTATATAAATTATTAATTATCTATGATATTTATATTATATATATCTTATTAAAATATAATGTTTAAAATATTAAATATTTATTTTAAAATATTTTAATCATATATATTAATTTTTATTTTTAAAAATAATAACATCGCTGGTATAAAATAATTAATTACACTTCCTAAATACCATGTCTCTAACCAAATGGATATCTTACCCGAGACGGAATGAGTAATATTTTGTATTAAAATATTATTTTTTTGTGAGTTGAAAAAATATATATATGTAATATATATTGTATTAATATTTATATACATATTAATAATATTTACGGAGAATCACACTATTGAAAAATATAAAGTGAACAAAGATATTATATTTTTACTAAATATCTTCGTCTCATTTCAATTATCGCATTTTCCTTTTATGTCCGTCCCATTTCAATTGACACGTTTAAATTTTTTAGTAAAAATTACTAAATCTATACATATTTAACAAATACAAATTAATTTAATTAACTTAATAACATATAAGATAATAATAACATAGGATCCACTCAAAATCTTTTTATTTCTATTTCTCTCATTAATAAACAAATATTTTTATCTATATTTAAAACTTTTAGTTTTTTTATAAAAATTAGTTTTATCTTAATTATAAATTAATAAATATATTTTTTATTTATTTGTATTACTTAAAATTTTATTCTTTACAAAATAATATTTATATTGCATATTTTTATTGAGATATAATATTTAAAATATTTAAGCACATATTCTAAATTTATTTTAATAATATATATTAAAACTACCAATTATATATTACTCATATAAGAATATAATCAAATAATATCATAATTTAAATTATTAACTAATTAAATATTTTACCTTAAACACCTTGTCTCAAATCACCTTTTGATTTGAAGGGAGAAAGTATTTTTTATTAAAATATTATGTGTAGTATTTTTTATTAAAATATTATGTGTATATATTTAGATTAAATTTAAGGGTGTGTCTGTTTTTAAATTTAAATAAAAAATAATATTATTTACTGTTTATTCACTCTGTATTTTTATGTAAGTACTTTTATATTAGGTATGAAAATTTTTGTTAGTAATTTGTTTTATTTTAATTTAAGTTTGAAAATTTTTATGTAAGTATTATTTACGGTTTGTTCACTCTGAATAAACGCCATGCTCCTAAATTAAAAATTTTAAAACCCGAATTTGTTTTATTTTAATTTAAGTTTGAATTTTAATTTTTTAATTAAATAATATTTCATAAAAATATTTATGTATAATTTTATTTAGAACAATTCAATCTGAAAAAATGCTAGTTTTAATTTAAACTAGAAATTAAAATCACAATTACGGTTCTAACGAGGTCAAATTATTATTGTACTGATTCAACTAAATTAGCAAATTAATATGAAGTAATTATCAATTCGTCACAAAATATATAACATTAACTTGTTAACTTAAAACAATTAATATTTCATCATAAGATTGTGTTGTTATATATATTAATATTTGCTACTTTTTTATATAAATATTTACTGTTTTGGTCAAATTATTAGTGTCATGAAATCAAAATATATTTTTGTTATATATTATTATATAATATTACCTCCGTCCGGCTCTAAGAGTCTTATTTACTTTTTGCACGTTGATATTTGAATATTAATTATTATATTAAAATATAGTACAAAATAAACAAAAATTACAAAAATATTTTCACTAGTGTCTTATAATATTAATAGAATGATATTTGTAAAATATATGTATATACAAATATAAAGATATTTTTAACATTAAATACAATGATGCAAGAGATAAATGTGATATTTAGAGGAAGATGAATAAACTATATTTTTACTGCTTATAATTATATAATGTACTATTAAAATATATATTTTATTATATTAAAATATTTATTATTTTCTTTATAAATTTAATACGGTAATCAGAAGGCAAAATTAAATACAACCCAACATTACATGTAAATTGTGATATATATATATATATAATATATATTATATATATATAATCTAACACATGCAATTGAGACAATATCTTATCTTATCCGAACGAATCCTCGAAATGAGCCACGTGTATATTATTTCATATGCATATAAACAATGAGTATTTTTTTAAGATTTTTTTTAATACATCGAAACTGAAATAAGTGTAATAATAAAATTTATTCTTCTGCATTTTATTTATTATTTAAAGTTTTCATTAAGCGTTGGCAAGCTCTTAGTAGAAATATGCTGATGAGGAATAAGATGTACATATATAAAATATTTATATTTTTAAGATATCAATAATCTTAAACATATGGATGCTTTTCCTTTTATTTTTTTATTTTTTTAATATTTTGGATAAAAAAATAAACTCTTTTTCTTATAATTTTTTTAATAATAAAAATAAATATTTTAATGACAATAATATTTTTCATAGTTCTTTAATTGCTAACAACAAAAAGTCAAAAAAAGTCCTCAAAATTTAAAGACACATCTATAACTCTTGCAATAAAAAGTGAAAACATGTGTTTGGTCGATAGTTTACCCAGAGCGAACCCGAAAAATATCGATTGTGAATTCTCACGTTATATATATATATATGTATATAAAGTAAAAATATGTATACTTTGTTTTAGTTTTCAGGGTGCGTTTGTTCGAGGGTTTGGATTTTGAGTTGGGATTTGAATAGTAAAATTTTTGAATTTGAATAGTTGTATGATGTGATATAAATAGGTATTAATGTGATGTTTTGAATGTAAATTGATTTTTAGTATAATATAAAAAATGAAAAACAGGTGTTTGATTTGATATTTCTGGAGAAAAAATGTAATGAATAGTGTATTTAAAATCCAATCCCCAAACAAACACATTCTTTAATTTTAGTAAATTAGTAGATGAATTTGATATTTTATAAAAAAAACTTAGCATATTTTTTATAATCATAATATATTAATATTGTATAGTAAATATTTTCATTTGTATTTTGTAATTTATTTATTATTTTTTTTAGGTGAATAGTAGTTAGATATATATAATGATTTTATAGAAAATGAATATGACAGCTTAACCGAAAAAATGAATATATAGATTTTTTTTAAATGATGAAATTTTATAATAAAATTTTGTAAAAATAAAATGCAAAAATACCATAGCCTAAAGGTGTGTTTATTTGTCTTTATGTTGATTTGAATTTGTTTAATTTTGGCTGTGTTTGTTTATATTGGATTTGGATTAATTTTGGGACTATTACCCAATATATTCTCACCAAACTTGTAAAATTAAAATTTTATTTTTATTGAAGATATTATATATGAAAAGAAATTTTTATATCTAATATTTACTTATATAATAAATATTATTTTATTCTACTTTTAATTTTTATTATTTTCAATTTTCTAACCAAATACAACTAATCGAAACGCACCCAAATTTTTTTAAATAAAGAATCAAATATATTATTAAATAAAAAATAAATACTTATATATTATATTAAATACTCCTTCTGCCCGGTAATATTAAATAGGTTTAGTTGAACATAAAAATTAAAAAGTATTGATATTTTAATTTAAAGTAAATGCATTTAAAAAAATTTATTAAATAATTGATAAAAAAATAGTGAAATAAAAAGACTAAATTAATTATTATATATTAAAATAATGGGAATAAAATATTATTTAAAATATAAATTGTGTATAAAAGAAGATGACATAACTTTTACTGATGAAAAAAAAATATATGAAATTCGAGTGTTATAAAAGAATATTCTTGTGTGAATTAGGTGAATGGGTGATGGATGGTATTGGTAGGTGAACGAAGGCAGCAGAAGACAATTAACGTAGAAACTAGGCACGTTTTCTGCGTGATCACACGTGTCCACACCTCATAAGCCATTGCTGCTGCTATTGTTACGAAATTATTACATGGTTCCTTTATTATTTTTTTTTTTTATCTTGGTCTTGATTTGATCTTGATTTAGATTTGCGGT